CCCTGCGGAGAAAGCTCATTTCGGCCGCCTGTATCCGGGATCTTGCCCTTTCGGTCATGACCCAAAGTTTATGACCATAGGTGAGAGTCGGAACGTAGATTGACCAGTAAATTGAAAGCTTCGCCTTACAGCTCAGCTCCTTCTTCACCACGACGGACCAGTACATTGACTGCATTACTGCAGGAGCTGCACCGATCCACCTGTCAATCTCTCGTTCCATCCATGCAGTGTGAACAATTATGAACAAATACTTTAATTTACAACATGCAAAAGTGACAGTGTGCTCAGGCTCCTGTTGTCTCATGGGGGCCTTCAAGAGGGAAGCAAGATCAAAAGGTCACAGATGCAGCCGTGTTTGTGAATTATTCTGCTGTGCATATAAAGAGGCGATTTGCGAGATGAGGCAAAGCGACAGGAGGAGAGGAGACAAGACAAGATGAGATTATTGGATGGCCACTGGAAACATTTATTGACCACTCCAAATCATAATTACTGAAGAATACAGACAGATTGTTAGGACTAATACAACATAATCAAGCTGCCAGATAAATGGCTTGTGGTGCTAGAGACACAGTTCCCACCATGGCCCTAACATATAAAATCCAAAATGTTTTATGTCACTTTACTACACTGTTGCAGTCAGGGTTGCAATGGTATGGTAATGCTACACTATTATATCATTACATTAATAGCCTCTCACTCACGCACTGATGTAAAAACAGGACTTGACTGCTGTGGCTGGTTGAGGTGGGTGGGACCCTACCAACACTCCTTCACTGAGAGGAAACTCAAACAACACCTGTTGCCCCCCTTCTGTTCAAAACCTGTCAAATAAAGGAAAACTGTTTTTTAGCCATGAGTTTTATCAGATATGTAGTAGTTTCACAAACTAGAAGTAGCCTGATTAATAGAACTTTTTTAAAGCAAGAGTTATTTATCAAACATATTCCTGCTATAGAGATAATAGAGCAACTGGTGGTAAAGCCAAAGCCCAGGCTTCATATCACTCCATCACAAACCTGTGGCGTCATAGAAACAACTTCTGTGCTCTCCACAGGCTGTGCCAGCCCTCTGCTGGCGTCATCGTCGCAGTCATGTGTCCTCCATGTTTTCTGCCATGTATGGACGTGACAAGTAGTAGTGAGTCGTGTGAAATTGGCTGCAGCTGAGTCAACCACCAACCTGGGCAGTTCTCAGCTGATTTGTTTTGTCTGTCTCCTGAAAAAAACACACACATACAGGCCCATTGAGTATTGCAGTTTCCATAGCAACAGTGATAGTGGTGGAGAGTGGGCTGGTGTTGGTTGAGCGGGAGAACGACAGAGTGTGAAGCAGCAACTGAGGTCAGAGTAGAATGTGTGTGTGTGTGTGTGTGTGTGTGTGTGAGTGAAGAGGAGAAGGAGTGGCAACCACACGACAGAAGAGACAGGGGATGTTTTCTTTGTCTTCTCTCCTGTGGACACACTCAGTCATGCATCAGCCCCGCTCCCCTCTTCCCAGGTGGAGGAAGAATGACGCTGGTTGCATGACTGTCTCCTCTCATTATCATTCTCCCTCCCATCCATCTTCCACGAGCCTACAGCTGGATAAGCCAACCACTAACCAGCGCCACTCTCTGTTACAGAGCAGGGATTTGAAGATTGCATCCTCACATTTGTAATCAGATATAGCAGAGGATTATCTCAAGGTCTCCTCCATCTTTTTCACAGCCAGGGGCTGCTGTGACAAAGGAGGCAGAGAAGAGGAGGCTGTGGAGGAGAGCAGAGAGTGGTGTTACAGATAGAGAGGGTGCAAGAGATCACCTGTGGATGTGAGGAGGAGGATGACGGCTTTCTAAGGAGCCGTACCCAACATCCGATACATCCACAAGGGGAGAGGAAAGCAGGGAAGATAGAGCCTCAGCAGCAAGTAGATCACTGTGAAAGGTAAGTTGCTGGATGAATGTGTACAAATCTTCTTTTTCCCTGAGGAATACACTGACAAGTCGTGTTGGATCTGTTTGTGGAAGTGTACAGTGTGTGTGTGTGTGTGTGTGTGTGTGTGCATGTTGTGCAGAAGGGTTTCATGTAAAAGTCTTTGGTTCTGGTTGAGTCCACGTCCTGGGTTACATACAACTGCACATTGTTTCCTTGAATGAGTCAGAGCCTGACTATTTCCCACACATGTTTTCTGGGCATTCCAGAAGTCTAACATCTTTTTTGGAGTCAAATCTCTGAGATACTACTTGCAGACAGCACTGTCAGCAAACTTGGACCTGTTGCAGTTTTAATCCTGTGACCATTCTCTTGAACTGAATCACCACACAACTAGTTTTAAAATGTTATTTAAACATTCTGGCAACTGCACTTCTTCATGTCCTTTTGACAGTCATGGGCTGAGCCAAAGGGGTGGCCAGAAGTGGTACCGGCCACCCCCAGAAAATGATTGCCCACCCCTGGTGGCACCCATGGGTAACAGCATCAAAATGAGATGCTTGTCAGTATTAATGAATAAAAATGTCAAACTGTAACAAACTGTTGCCTTAAATGCAACTGACATTTTCTGGTGCTTTATAATTGATATTGGTCCAATTTGTTTTATTTTACTTCATGTTTATATATATACATCATAATTTGCAGCATGATATTTGCATTCATTTCTCCAATTGTACTGTGGTAAAATACTTGGCATGATTCAGGTCGGGGGGGGGTGGGGGGGGGGG